GTTTTGGTCCCAGCGGGGGGAGATTAAGGTGGTTCTCTGAAAGTTTGGGGCCGGCTGGGTCTAAATTTCAAGTGCCAGGCCAGCTGAGGCAACAGGGAGCCCCTGTCTAAAAAAAAAAAAAAAAAGCTGTTTTAATTGGAGCGAGTTTTTCTTTTTTTTCTTCTTTTTTAAAATTAGGCTAGTGATTTACTATAAAGCAAAAACCATGTCACTTACCCAGGTCCTGCTGTAGAGCATCAGGGAACCAGGAAAAAGGTGGGGCAAGTGTGGGAGAAGTAGAATCACCTTTCCTCGTCTCCAGGGGGCCCTGATGAGACTTCATGACTGGTAAGCTTGTGTCTGTAAGGCTGTGAGAAACCCAACACATGCTCCATGACAGAGCTCGACTGTTCCCAACAAGATTTTTGTGGTATTACACCACTTAGAAATATGTACTTTAGTTTCTGATACAGCAGCAACTCTTTCCCTCTTAAACTTACAGTAATTTATAATTTTAATATTTAAATTTTAGGGAAGTTTTTATGAACAGAATTACAACTGTGAGGAAAGTGAGAGTTTAGTGGAGGAGTATCAGACAGTCAGAGAGACAGTGGTAGGGGGTGTTCACGGTAGCTCGTTCTTAGCCCACATGTATTGTATGCCCCGCGGTCACCACGGAGGAGAACCCTAAAGAATGGCATTTGTTTTTCTGAATCCCTTCTGAAGGGATGGGTATGGGTGACTGTATCAGTTACTGTTGCATCACTGTAACAAAAAGCCTGGCAGAAACAACTTGAGGAAGAAAAGTTTGTCTTGGCTCACAGTTCCATAAGATCATAGCAAGGATGGTATGATGGAGTTCATGGCCATGGGAGCATGTGGCTGGGCCTGTTTACATCATGGCAGGCAGATCAAAAAGCAGAGAGAGAGCGCCTTCAAAGGCCTGCCCCTGCTGTGCTACCTGCTAAGCCTGACCTCTTACAGGCCCCACAGTCTTCCCAGATTGCACCAGCAGCTGGGGAACACATGTTCAAAACATGGGCCTTTGGGGACATTTCACTGTTAGGAAACTCTAACACTGGTCATGTGTAATCTCAGGCTGAGCCTGCAATCAGAGCCAGGTGTCTGTGTCCTTGAGAATCAGACCTTGGGTGGGATTCTACAAGCTGGAACTAAAGATGGATTTGGAAGAGGGCAATGGGGCCAACGCTCCGTGCTTACTCTTTCCAGGCCTGATGGTGGGCACCTGCCCTGGGCCAACCCTCTCCATCCTGAATGCAGAGGTATTTGTGAATGTCTGAATCTTTGAAAGAACAGATTGCTCCAGAGATTCTCCTCTGCTGTAAACAAGGTGAACGTGAGATGTGCTGGTCTTATTGGAGGCTCTCTTGTGCCCCCCAGGAAATGCTCTCTGGCGTGGTGGTCATCTCTAGCAAGGATTCCGTCCAGCACCAGGGAGTGTCTCTGACAATGGAAGGGACTGTAAACCTCCAGCTCAGTGCCAAAAGTGTGGGTGTGTTCGAAGCTTTCTACAATTCTGTGAAGGTAAGAGTGTACAGTTCAACACAAATGTTTGTGGTTTTCACTTGCCATGTGCCTTGTTAGCTGTTGTATGTTGCAAGGGATCATGGTCCTCACACTTTCTGTTCTAATAAAACAACCTGAAAACATTCATGTATGTTGTTTCTGTGTTATCAGATAAGATACCTGCTTATGTAATATTCCTAGTGCTTAGGGTTAGAAGGAAATAATCATGGGAACTGCAATCTGAAGAGCAGGGCTTTTCGGAGAAGTTGCGCTTGTGACTTGGGGTCCTTGCCTTCCTCCATCAAAATATTTTATTAGCTGCTTCTGCTTTGTTGAATTTCACTTTGAGGGAAGATGCAGTTAGGGCAGGGAGCACTTTTTGTTTTCTTTATTTAGGGTAGAGTTTGTATTCTAGGAAGTTTTTTCCCCAAACTTAGCTGCTTTTCCTGTAGGCCATGTCTCCAGTTGAGCAGGAAGATGAGGGCTGAGGGCGGGAGAGCACGAACTTGTTGGGATTCAGAAGTTTCCTGTGTTTGCAACTGTCTCATCTTAATCCATTAGCATTTAGAGATGGCCTTCCTACATCAGGGGTTTTCTCAGAGTAATGTTAAACGAAAGCCTTAACAGCCTGAAGCGAGTTGGATGTGGTGGCGTATGCCTGTAGTCCCAGCACTCTGAAGGCTAAGGCAGAGGCAGTGAGGATCTTGAGTGTGAGGCTGGTCTGCGTGATACAGGGAGAGTATCTCAAAATAAAAGAAAACATAAAAGTGTGACGCCTGCAGTGTTAGTCATTTTCCTCCCTGGAGGCCCAGCTGGGGTGGCCTGTGTGGGCACCTGGGTCTGGAAGCCTGCCCTGGTCACAAGGCTGTAGTGCTGAGGCTCTGGGAGGCCAAGGACTGTGGGAAGCTGGGGCAGTGATGCTGAGAGATGCCAGGTAAGGAGCAGCCCTCCGGTACATGTTGACTACCTGCTGAGGCTGCTTCAGTGACGGGCCTGCTTCCCCATTCTGCATGTAAGGTTGTTAGGACAGTTCAGTGACAATTTGAGCAAGAGACAGAGACACATGGGTTCAGGTCCTACTTTTTATGGCATCTTGATGCCCAAGGTTGAAATAAGCCATTTTTGGGTTGCTGAGATGGCCCAGTGAGCAAAGGTGCTTACTGCCACACCTGATGACCTGAGTTCAGTCCCTGGGATCCACATGATGGAAGGAGAGACCCAAGTCCCACAAGTTATCCTCTGACTTTTACATACATACCTTGGCGTGTGTACACTCATGCACATGTGCACACGCACACCAAATAAATGTAATTAAACATTTTAAAGAAATGAACCTTTATTGTGCATACTTTAAAAATAGAAGCAGCTTTTTCATCTCCACACCGAACCCTGTGCTGCCAAGACACCAGGAAGGGAGGAGCATCCGGGCGCTGTGGGCTGACTCTGCAGGGAGAATAACAGACAGGTGCGTGCTGTTGGCCTGAGCTGAGTTTTGTTTACAGCCGATCCAGATTATCAACAGCACCATAGAAATGGTGAAGCCTGGAAAGTTTCCCAGTGGTAAAACTGAAATTCCCTTTGAATTTCCTCTGCATGTGAAGGGCAACAAAGTTCTGTATGAAACTTACCATGGCGTGTTCGTCAACATTCAGGTGAGTTTCTCAATCCCACACGCTGACTGCTTCATTTCTCAGCTCAAAACCAACGTGGCTCCTTTCCTTCACTGAAAGCTAATAGCCGAACTCAAGAATTGAACACTGGATTTACTGCTGAGGCTCTCATGTGTATGCTGTATTGATTTCTCATTTTGCCCTGCTAACTACATTTGGTGCATGACCGTTATTACTGTTCATCATTACATTATTATTTTTGCAGTGTTGGAGATCAGCCCAGGGCTCCACGCATGCTAGGCCGGTGCTGTAACTCAGCCCTACCTCGTCCTCCCATAACCCATGTTTTAGTAGGAATCATGGTATTGCCGCTTCCTTGGAGTCCCTTTGTCTCCTCCGCACTCTTCTCAGGCCACATGGACACCGTCAGGCACATTTCTTGTTGGGTAGTAGATATGCCCTAACCTTCTTTTGGCACCAGCACTAATGTGTCCTTTTTCTTATAAATATCTCTTTGTTTAATGCCCAAAGGCTGCCATTTGAACATAGACTGTATTCTTCATTGAGCAGACCTTGTAAATGGGGGGAAGTGGCCCTAGGACTTCCTGTCTACCTCTGCTACTGAGGGATGGCTTTCACAGTTGCTGTTGTCTCAGGAGTGGAGCCCAGTCATGACTCAACCAGAGAAGGCAGTTTCCTTTATTCAGCGCAAAGAAAGGTACTTTTGTGTTGTCACAGCTCCCCTGCTAAATGAGAAAAAAAGGATGCGAGAGGCAGAAAGTTCGGAAGTTGCTTGATTTGTTTTACTTGATCACATTTGGACTTGATAAATACCATTCCTTTGCTTAAAATCTGGAATGTTTAAACTCTTTTTTTTTTTTTTTATGTTGCTGAATTATTTTTTTTTGTGTGTGTGTGTCTCACTGTAGCCCCAGCTGTCCTGGAACTCACTATGTAGACCAGGCTGGCCTTGAACTCACAGATATCCGCCTGCCTCCGCCTCCCGAGTGCTGGGATTAAAGGTGTGCGCCACCACGCCCGGCCGTTTAAACTCTTTTAAAAATCTCAAAACATGCTGGGTGGTGTCACAGGCCTTTAATTCCAGCACTTGGGAAGCAGAGGCAGGTGGATGCCTGTGAGGTCAAGGCCAACCTGGTCTACATAGTGAGTTCCAGGACAGCAAGGGCTATAAGAAGACCCTGTCCTCCAAACAAAACAAAATAACAAAAAATCTCAAAACTAAAGGTTTGTCTTATGTGAGTTTCATGATTTGATGGGATGATGCACTGTATTGCAGATAATACCTTTCTGTAAGGAGATATATGTTTCGATAGTACACCTGTTTCAAGCAATAACACACATGAACACTTGTATACACAGACACACACTCAAGGAAGAGCAAACTGCTTCTGTAGACATATACATACCAACTGCTGGTACATGAATTTTTTTTTTTTTTTTTTTTGGTCTTTTTGAGACAGGGTCTCCCTGTAGCCCCAGCTGGCTTAGAACTCATTCTGTAGACCAGGCTGGCCTTGAACTCATAGAGATCTGCCTGCCTCTGCCTCTGCCTCCTGAGTGCTGGGACTAAAGGCATGCATGCGCCACACCTGGCTTAGGTATGAATTTTTAAAAAGATTGTATTTTATTTTTAATCATGCGTGTACATGTATGTGTCTCTGTGGGTTTGTACACATGTTTAGGTGCCTACAGGGCACACAAGAGAGTGTCAGGTCCCCTGGAGCTAGAGTTACAGGTGGCTGTGAGCTACCCAACGTGGGTGCTGGGAACTGAACTTGGGTGCTCTGCAAAAGCAGTATGTGCTCTTAACGGCAGAGCCATCTCTCCAGTCCCTGAACATAAATTTTGACCAGCTTCCAGCTTTCTAGGTTGGGAATATTTTCTGAGCAAATCTTTTGTTTTTGTTTTTTGAGACAGGGTCTCTCTGTAGCCTTAGCTGGCCTGGACTCACTATGTAGACCATCCCAGGCAGACCTTGTTCTCACAGTAATTCACCTGCCTCTGTCCTGCGTGTTGGGATAAAAGGTGTGTGCCACCATGCCCAGTGCAAATCTACTTCTTAAGAGAAGCTTGGATAGGAGCTGGAGAGATGACTCGGTGGTTAAAAGCACTGGCTGCTCTTCAGAGGACCCAAGTTTGGTTCCCAGGACCCACATGGTGCCTAACAACTGTAACTGCAGTTCTAGGGGATCTGAAGCCCTCTTCTGGCCTCTTTTGGCAAGCAAAACACTCATACACATAAAATAAATAAATTTAGAAAGAGAGAAACTAGGGTTGTAGCTTTTTTTTTTTTTTTTTTTTTTAACTATGCCAGCTTTTCAAAATAGATCAGGAGTAATGCAAACCCAGCTTCGGCATCTTAGTAACGGTTGTAGCTTTTTGATCTATTCCATCCATCCATCCATCCAATTCATGAACAGATCCTTTCCTAATCTCCTTATTTCACAGTAGAGCAGGTGTCACCCAAGAGGCCCTGACTTCTCTGGTCACGTGGCCCATCAGCACGGATCCTCAGGCTTGCACTTTTTTCTCGGCACTTAACTGCTTGGAGAGATGGTTTAGCAGTTTAGAAGTGTTTGCTACTCTTGCAGAGGACCTGAGTTCAGTTCCCAGCACCCACATGAGGTGGCTCACAACCATGTGTGACTCCAGCTTCCAGGGATCCAAAGTCTCTGGCCTCTGTGGGTACCTGCACTTATGTGCACAGCCCCCCCCCATATACCTACACATGATTAAAAATAAAATAAATCTTTTTCTTAAAAAAGTGCCTCCTTGAATACCACTGAAGTTTGGCTTCCTGCTGCCCTCTTGACCTCCTGTGGGTCACCCTGCTTAGATGATTGCTTAGAGACTTGTAAGAAGATCCAGAGCTTTCTAGGAGGCAGATCTGAGCTTGAGTTACAGTCCTACCACTGCCCTATGCGAGAATTCAGTGTAGGTTTTGGTGATAGGCAGGTGACCCCAGCAGCCTCCCTGACTTGCTCTTAATGGGATTAATGAGAGACTCATTAGAGCTGGGCACAGGGTTTGGCACACAGAATGTACTAGTGAGTATTTGCTGTGTGGTGAACACGTAAGTTAATGGATGACTACCCTTACTTACATTAGCCTTGTAACGATTCTTAAATCAGTATTGTGAGAATTAACTGAAACAGATGTAGAAGAGCTTGGACATTCCTAGCCATAGTAACAAGAGTGTTCTCCTCTTTGCCTCACCTTGCTCCCCACTCCACAGACCACACGATGCATTAATTTACTAAGTGTTGCCCTCACAGTTAACGAATAGTGACCAGATCGGATACGTACGATTCATACCATTCCATTTACAAGTTGTAGACTCAACTCAAATTGACTCAAGCAAGCAAGAGCCCTGGATCATGGAACCAGAAATTCCAGGGGAGCAGCTTGGCTGGGTTGGAGGCCAGGCCCCAGGGGAGCAGCATGGCTTTCTTATGTACTGGCTCAGTCCTTCATCATAGCAGAGCTGGCTGCCATTGGCCACTGGGCAGCTGCAGCTTCTGGCTCTACAGAACACATCTGTACCAGTGAGGGAGGTGGCAGAGGTCAGACCAGGAAGAGTCAAACCAGGCAAGCCACATAGCTCACTTCAGACAGCATGTGGGATGTTCAGGATGAGGGCAGTATACATAGAGACTGTGCTGGATAGCTTCACTTGTCAACTTGACACACCTGGGTAGAGGGGGCCTCAATTGCGAAATTGCCTCCATTGGACTGGCCTGAGGCCTTGTCTGTGAGACATTTTCTTGATTGTTGAGTGATGTGGGAGGGCTTAGCCCACTGGGCAGTGCCACCCCTGGACAGGTTGGCCTGTGTTGTATAAGAAAGCAGGCTGAGCATGGGTCAGGGGAACAAGCCAGTTAGCAGCGCTCCTCCATGGCCTGGGCTTCAGCTCCTGCCTCCAGGTTCCTGCCCCAAGTTCCTACTTTGGGCTTCCTCCCTCATGAACTGTGACTTGGGAGATGTAAGCCAAATAAACCCTTTCCTCCCCATGTTGGTATTGGTCAGAGAGTTTTGTCACAGCAATTGAAGGCAAAGTAGAACACTTACGTACTGCCTTCCATGAGTGCGTACACACACTCAGCATGCACATGGTACCAGTTCTCACTGAGCTTGTCTGGTTTGGGAGACCAGATTGAAATCGCATCAGAAAATATACATAATGCATACACACATCTGTAAGTAAGAAGATCCTTGCAGGCAAGGGATGATTCTTATAAAAATGTCTTTATCTCCCAGTAGTACCTCAAATATATAGGAACTTATTTCATATGGATAGGTTCTTCTTAAGAATACAGTATCTTGGGGGCTGGAGAGATGGCGCAGCGGTTAAGAACACTGGCTGTTCTTGCAAAAGATCCGGGTTCAAATCCCAGCACCCACATGGCAACTAACTACTGTCCATAACTCCAGTTCCAGGGGATCTGACAGCCTCTTCTGTCCTCTGCAGGCATTGCATGACACAGGTGCACTTACCTGCATGCAGACAGTACATGAATACATATAAAATAAAAATAATAAATTCAAAAAAAAAATTTTTTTTTTTTTGGTCTTTTTGAGACAGGGTCTCCCTGTAGCTGTCCTGGAACTCACTATGTGGACCAGGCTGGCCTTGAACTCACAGAGATCTGCCTGCCTTTGCCTCCCAAGTGCTGGGATTAAAGGCGTGTGCCTCCACGCCCAGCAAATAAAATATTTTTTTAAAAAAGAATACAGCTTCTTGCAAGAGTCACAATTATACATATAGTCCAAGGTATGAAAATCATTTTTGACACAATTCAGGTTTTCCTATATGATTGAAGCAACAGCTAACTTTATTAAACATGAGTTATATGAGAATTTGGGTTTTGGTGGTGGTGGTGGTTAAGGATAGAACCCATAGCATAGCCATGCACTAAGCAAGGATTCTACCACTTAGCTTTACTCTAAGTCCCCAATTTTTAAAAAAGTCTGACACGCATTCGGGAGGCAGAGGCAGGCGGATCTCTGTGAGTTCAAGGCCAGCCTGGTCTACATAGTGAGTTCCAGACCAGCTGGGGCTACAGGGAGACCCTGCTTCAAAAAGACCAAAAAACAACAACAAAAACGGCAACAAAAAAATCTGACACTAGGGTACTAATGCCACAGAAGTTGATGTCAAAGCAGCTCAGCTCATGGCCAGGGGTTCAAGATAGTGATCCCAGTGCCCACCCTTCGTAAAGCTCAGTGACCAGGTCTGCAGTGCACATTGCCTTGGAAGGACAGGGCCTTCCCACAGCAGTCCATCTAGCAGTGACCAGCTAAGAAAAGTCACCAGGGGCTCAAGAAAATGAACAGGCCAAGTGTAAAGCTAGCACTGTTTCTCCTGCCTCGTAGTTGAGATGCAGCTGCATGTGGGCGCTGGCGTGCAGACGGGGCTGGGAGGGCAGGTAGTTAAAGGAGGCTGGACTGAGCTGACTGGTGAGTGTGTGGGGCCTTGTCTCACTCTTCTCTTTACTTTGATATGTCTTTGAAATTTTCCAAAAGTGACTATTTTTAAGTATCTTCTTTATTTCTCCTCTAGAATATATAGAAATAGTTTTGGGATTCTGTGGAGTCCCAGGTCTTTTAGGTTGTTATTACCCATTGCTTCTCTGTAGTAAACTCTCTGCTGTCCTGCGTCCTGTACAGTGTGCTCAGCAGGTAGCAAGAAGTGATGGTGTGTGAGGTGCCCGGGGCTGTCCCTGGGGTGCCCAGCACTGTTCCTGAGTGCTACTGGAGCAGGTGGGCATCCGTGTCCCCATGGTACAGAGGAAAGCTGCAGCTCAGAGAGCCTGTGCGGGCCCACACAGCAGGGTAACTGCATCGGAGCCATCTGTTGCCAGTGCTGCACTCTTCCTGTTCTCCGCTGGCTTTCTCCACGCTGTGGGAAAGGCCATCGAGTGTAGTTTCCAGTATGTCCAACTTCAGGAGGGCAGTGGGCACAGGCTGAACATGTTTTATTTTTTCAAATAGAAATACCTTCATTTTGAGCATTAACTCCCTGTACTGGGTATATTAATTTCATGTCACACATTCATTTGCTAAAGTTTCCTTTAAAATATGTTGACTTGGAGCTGGAGATATGGCTCAGCGGTTAAGAACACTGGTTGTTCTTGCAGAAGACCCAGGTTCGAATCCCAGCACCCACATGACAGCTAACAACTGTCCATAACTCCAGTTCCAGGGGATCCAACAGCCTCTTCTGTCCTCCGGGGGCATTGCACGACACAAGTGCACTTACCTACATGCAGGCAATACTCACATACACATAAAATAAAAATAGTACATTTTTTTTTAAAAGTTAAAAAAATAAATATATGTTGAGTTGGTTGTCTCTGGATGTTGTATTGTGAGCAGAGCCCGCTGTGACATTTTCCTCTCCTTCTCTCTAGTACACACTGCGCTGTGACATGCGGCGGTCCCTGTTGGCCAAGGACTTGACCAAGACCTGTGAATTCATCGTTCACTCTGCCGTAAGCCTCGTTTCAGGGCTCTGCTTTGCAACTTAGGATTGCAGCTGCTCACAAGCTAGTACTTTGGGTGCTGGTGGGAGACATAAGGTGCCTGTGGCAGTGACAACGTGAGCGACAGCAGGAGCGTCAATTCCATGGCTTGGTGATGCCCACCTGTGGGTGTCTGCCTCCCCAGAGGACTGCCTGCCCCCATCTCCCATGCTTTTACAGTAAACAGAACTGCTGTGTCTCAGAAAGGGACATCACCTTGGCCCTCAAGGCTGCTGAGGCAGATAACACCATGAGAAACAGTCATAGCCTAGCATGCTTGGTACTCATGCCCTAGGAGAACATAGGATGCTCAGGGTTGTCCCTGTCCTGTCTTCACACTTCTGTCTATATTTTACAGTAACAGTTCTTCAAACTGCCTTTCCCATGCTAGTTTGGGTAGTTGGTCCCTCATCACTGTTGCTGCAGTGACTTGGGGAAGTTGACAGCAAGTCCTCCACAGCCTGTGAGTCACACAGAATCAGCAGTGACAGCACCTGCTCTTGATGTGGCGCGTGGTGACAGATGCATCCCAGCACTGTCTCTCACTAGGTCCTGTCCCTTCCTGTCCTGTGAACATCATTCTCACCTTTAGCCAGCAGCCAGTCCCTCTTGTCCCTCCCTCACAGATGGTGCACCTAAGGAGTTCCAGGCCTGAGCAGAATTCTTGAGTTGGAGCCCTGAACCTGAGAGCTGCCTGGGATGAGCATTGGCTGGGTTGCTGTCATGCATGAGGCAGGGCTACCTCAGGAAGCTGCTCTGAGGCCTGCACTGCACTGGAAGGGTGGGCCTCTCCTCCAGGAAGTCGGGTAGGTGGGCGCAGAGCTCAGATCAGCCAATCCCATTTCCAACTGCTTCACTCTGTGCACTACTGCCTTGCTGGTGCTGGATAGAGCCCCACAGGGCCATGCACCTTCACCTTGCACCTTAGTGACATTTTTAATTTCTATGGTGTCTAGGTATCTATAAATTTATATAAAATATCAAAATATTCCTTTTAGCTACAAAGTTTAAGTTACATGTTTAAAAAGATGAGTATTTTCCTTTTTTCTATCAAGGGACTTTCAATTGAAGCCCGAAACATCTTAAAGTAAACTATTTCCTAAAAAAATGCTGACAGCCTTTTATGGACTTGAAAAGAGAACTTTAAACTTTGTGACGAGCAGTGAGCCTAGCCCAGGGCCGTGTCCAGCACCTGTCTGATGCACCCCACCCTATGCCTGCAGAGCCCTCCTCAGTATGGCTGTGGTCCCAACTGTGGGGACAGCACTCCTTAGGGCTCCTACCCCTGCTCATGGTACTCTGTCACCATGGGGCCTTCGAGGATTGAGTTATTGGCCAGGCATGGTGGCTCACACGTGCAATTCCACTGCTCAGAAGCTGAAGCAGGACAGTTGCCAGGAGTGTGATTCTAATCTACTGTGGGCTGTAGAGTGAGCTCAAGGCCACCCTGGACTGTCTATAAAGTGAGTGAGACCCTGTCACAGAAAAAAGCCAAATGGAGGGGCTGGAGAGATGACTCGGCAGTTAAAAGTATGTGCTGTTCTTGCAGAGGACCAGAGTTGAGTTCCCAGCAACTTCGTGGCAACTAACAACCATCTTTAACTCCAGTTCCAGGGGATCTGACGCCCACTTCTGGCCTCCATGGGCATTGTACATATGGATGCATTTACATATATTCAGGAAAATCACTTGTACACATAAAATCAAAGCAAAAAGTAAAAAAGATATTTTTAAAAACAGTGGGTGATTTCATAAGGCTAACACCCACTTGGCCTCTGGTTTGTAGATTAAATATTGCATTAACGCAGCAGGAAGGATATTTTGACTAAAGAACATGTTAATGAACCCATTAAGCTAGAGTATGTTCCAGAACATAACTCCTTGGAATAATCCTCTAAGGAGAGTGTGAACTTGGCTCACAGGCTGGTGCCCTCTCCTGGTTCCCTGGGTCTTGTTGACCTTTTGCATTCTGATCCTGGGTGCAGTGCCAGTCAGGCTTTAGCGAAATGTGGCTGTGTGAATGGATTCTGGAATGATCTTTCCAGTAGACAGCTGTGTAGCTAGTGGCTAACAGCATTGGCTTGTTCAGGCCTCCCTCAGCTCTGCCATGTAGTAAGCAAGTCTGTGTGCTCCATGTACCTCACTTCTCGTGTGAGGTGGGACCAGCTCCTCATGAAGTCACTGTGCCTCATCAGCAGCATGTGTTGACACTCCAGTGGAAGGTTGCAGACAAATGCCTCCCAGTATCACTGTGCTGTACCTTACATCCAGTTTCAAAATTCTGAACCCATACAGTTCCTTGGAGGCTAGGGAAATGGCTCCATTAAGAGCACATGCTGCTTTTGCAGAGGACCTGAGTTCAGTCCCAGCACCCATATGGGTTGTGTCACAACTGTGTAACTCGAGCTCCAAGGGACCCGGTCTTCTGGCCTCTAGAGATTGTGCATATACAGACACTCAGGCACATACACATACACGTAAAATAAGCAAACAAAAATCTTTAAAAAAAACAATCAGAAACGTCCCTTGGATGAGGAAACCGAGCACTGGGGTGGAGAAATCTGACAGTGTGATTGTTTGGGGGCAGAGCTGGGTTTGTGTTTGGATTCAAATCTCCTGCTCCCCAGCGCCAAGTCTCTTCCAGCTCCTGTGTTTGTTTTAATCAGGGGAGGAAGCTGTTCCACATGCAGAGCTTCACCCTGCTCACTGTGGGTTTGCCTCTGTTTTAGCCTCAGAAGGGGAAGTTGACCCCGAGTCCTGTGGATTTCACCATCACCCCGGAAACCTTGCAGAATGTCAAAGAGGTAATGCGTTCCTTATGCTCGCAGGCAGTGGTCTTCCTAGTGACTTGACCCAGTGACCAGCTGCTGCCTAGTTGGGAATCAGAGAATGGTGTTTTTGCCCAAATTGGTATTTTCAAGTTGATTTCATGTTGAATTCAGTAATTACTTAGGTGAAATAAAATGTTTTTAGAAGCATATTTTTAATACGCTTATTTTTTTCTTTTCTTTGAGACTCTCCCTTTCTTATAGGCTCTCCCCATAGCTCCAGCTGGCCTGGAACTCACAGAGATCTGCCTGTCTCTGCCCACCAAGTGCTGGAGGAATTAAAGGCATGTGCCACCATGCCCAGATTACTATATTTTCTTGAGATGACAGACTTCTCACTTACTGCCTAGGCTGCTTGAATTGGAGCCATCCTCTAGAACTACAAGTGTGCACCATTACCTGGCTTGTCTGTGACTTCTTACCATTGTCTTTGTTTCCTGCATATGTGCCCCGAGCTCCAGCCCTGCTGTCCCCTTGCGTGTCCCCCTGCCTGTCCCCTTTGTTTCTCATAGTAGCCATGGTCTGCACTGGACTGACCCCATGGCATCTGTCATCCTCAACTGAGGCTTGGTTTGCAGTGTCTCTTCCTAGAGTTCCCATTGATGAAGAACTGTCCATGGGAGTGGGCAGTGAGGACATGGGAGCTGGACAGCACCAGACTGTGGACTCATGCCCAGCATGAAGGCCAGGGTTGCCTAGCTCTTGGGCAGACTCAGCGGGCTTTCTGCTGGGTGACTGTACTGGGCACACAGTCACTTTGGCCCATCCCACCACTGTGGCCCACCCCCTTAGACTAGCAGTCTCCTCCACTGCCAGGAATTTTCCCAAGTTTTTTTTTTTTTTTTTTTTTTTTTTTTAAAAAATTTTTTTTAAGAAAAAGAGCGAAAACATACGTTTTTTCTTGCCTGACCCTGGATTTTGCAATGCTTTTTCATGATTAAGTTGAGGTTTTTTTTTTTTTTTTTTTTTTTTTTTTTTAAGTAAATTACTGTCAGAGCAAGCAGTGAATACTACAGTGCTTTCTGGACAGAGCTTGTTATCTATTCCAATTCTGCATTTTGTTCATATGGATTTTAATTGAGGACAAGTTTGGGAGATTTGGGGCTCTAGAGTGATCACTGATGCCATTCATTAGGAGGTAAAAAGGAGACAAGGGAATGTTAGAGGTAGCCTTTCAGAAAGTTCTGGAAGGAGCCACTATGACACGTCAGTAGCACCCTGTGAGCTCCATTTCTTCCGATGCAGGTGCCATGCCCTTGTTTCTGCTTCAGTATTGATTGTTTCTCACAGGTGGGCTCTATGTCGGGGGGAGAGTCCTCTTTTATCTTTTTTAAATGTTGATTTTTGATATGTACGTGAGGATCCGTAGGTGTACAGATCCTCATTTTACAGATCCTTTCATTAACAAGACTACTGTCAACCACCAGCCCTGGTGAGAATCTGTTCTCTGGAGTGTACCCCCCTGAATTTTGCCCTAAGTGTTACATAGAGAATGCAGGTATGTGTAGGTGGCCTGCCTTCCGGCCGTGTAGCTGTTCTAGAGGAACAACTTTTATTATACAGAAGCATTCATGTTTATTGTTGGAAAATGAGAACATGACACTTTAGTGTAAATATTTTGACTAACATATAGTTAATATTTCACAAAACACCATTGGTTTTCTTTTCCAAGTCGAAAAGGGATTTGTGTTGAGGAATAGGATGGCTCACAGACTGGAGGCTGAGGGCAGACTCAGAGGGGTGCGGGTTTGTATTGTTGATGCCGTGACCTCTGGGAAGAGCGGGAGAAGGAATGTGTGTCTGCGGACATTTTCAGAGGGCCCGTCACGTAGAAAGCAAGAGTGGCACCAGTCTGGTGGCCACCAGCCCCTTGTGACCACTGCTACTCCACATGCGGCTGGTCTGACTTCAGATGAGCTGCAGAGAATACTGAGCCAGTTTCAGAGACTCAGTGTGAAAAGAGGCAGGGGCTCATGGATCCAGACTGGCCTCAGATTATTTAGTTGAGGATGTCTTGGAGCTTCTGGTCCTCCTCCCTCCACCCTTGAGTTGGGCTACAGGCATTCCGCATAATGCCTGGTTCGTGTGGTACCGGGATTGAGCCCAGGACCTCATGCTTGCTAAGGAAGCAGTCTCTCAGGGGAGCTGTAGCTGTCACTTGCATCATTCATATTTTCATACTGATTATCTGTAGAAGTCATAACGTTTTGGAGATATCATTGAAATTTTTTGATGTGACTACCACAAAATCTTAAATGACACACAATTTTAAACTTGTGGCTTCTGCTGCTTCTGCTGCATAGTGGGACATGACAGAGGTGAAGATGACAGAGGTGAAGACTCCTGCAGTGACAGTCAACTCTTTCCCCTCAACACCATCGCCAGTTACCTCAGCCAGTCTCCCATGTCTACAGAGAAAAGGTCTTTCATCAGGCTTTGAGAAAACTGCTCTTTAAATTTCCTTGAAATAAAATAATTGTCTTGGCTTTTCAAACTTGCCTAATTGGGAACAATTTAAAACCAACTACCTTTTTTTTCAGGGCTGGTGAGTGGTGCGCTGGACCACTTGTCCTTAAAAACCCCGTCAGCTTCTCAGCTTTCTATATTTTGTGTCTTGTTGCCTGCCTGGAGTGTAGGCAGAGGGGTGGTTCTGAGTGAGTTGCTCATTCTGCACAGGACAGGTCGGGGGTGTGTGTGTGTGTGTGGTGTCGGGGAAGCTGACAGTTCAGCCTCTTAATGTCCATTATTTTTCTTGTGTAAAACAGCATTCCCATGGTTTGTGTGTAGAACAATTGCCCAACTTTTTTTCAGCTTTTATTTATACCGGAGCAGAATAATAGCTCCTTTTTCCTTCTGTTCCTGATGTCTTTCTTTTTGTTTATTGTAGAGAGCCTCACTTCCCAAATTCCTCATTAGAGGACATCTGAACTCCACCAACTGTGCTATCACGCAGCCACTGACAGGAGAGCTGGTGGTGGAGCATTCGGATGCTGCCATCCGGAGCATAGAGCTTCAGCTGGTCCGCGTGGAGACCTGTGGTAAGGCCTTTGGAGGCTGCAAGTGTTGGAGACTCTGCCTGTCACCCTCAGTCAATAGTTAATTATGATGCCTGAGTGCTAGGCCAGTTACAACATGAGATGCATCCATAGGATTCATGTTCTTGGGAGGTGGAGGTTCTCAAGTGCATCTACACTCGTTCCCCAGGAGCTTGCTAAAGTGCGTGTGCCTAAGCTCTGTTTGCAGAGATTCTAATTCAGGTCTGGAGTGGAACCTGGGAATCAGGAAATGCGTGTTTTAAAAATGCTTCCCTTTCCCTTTTTAGTAGTCTACATTTGTTGCAAAAAGAAGCTTCTTTGGTGAGTAGTGAGAGGTACACTTGTCTGTAAATATAACAATACATATTTAGAATACAGTCAGAAATTGCATTGGTCTAGGAATGTGACAAAGGTAGGGCTTTTTTTGTTGTTTTTTTAGGATCCATGACGACCTCTTCAGCCATACATACTTGACGATGTTTACAGTACCATACATGATTTCCCTCCCATTGAGGGGGCCTTAAGTCCAATTAGACAGCTATTGAGTACCCCCAAGATAAAAGTGCCACTACTGCACCAGTAGAGATAGCTGTGCCAGCCACACCTGGTCAAACACAGAATAAGTGACTGTGAGGTGCCCAATCCTAAGTGACACATCTGTAATGCAACTTATATACCTAAGGCTCAAGGAACATTGTGTAAGAGGGGGTGGAAAGATGTAAGAGGGACTAGACACGTGCTGCTAGTTAATGCATTATTAAACAGGGAAGTTGCACCAATGAAATCTCCATAATATGGTAGTCTAATAAGATCTACATAATGACAAAACCAGCTGGCATGCCAAGGTGGATGGGGGGAGGGGATATCACAGGGTCTCAGCTTAAGATGAAGAGAGCTATAGGCAACCAATGGATGCTGAGAGAGGGAGAATCAGTTTTCCTCAGGGACGAGCTCCTGGAGAGGTTATGTAATGCCAGGTGGGCAGCCCCAAACACAGGTATGTGCGAGCACCACTAAGTGGACTCAGTACATTTTACATACACAAAAACACACAGACACACATGTAATAATAAAAGGATATGAAATTGAGAGGGAGTGGGGGGACGTGAGGAGTTATTTTCTATTGCTGTGATAAAAACACTAACTAAAACCAACTTGGAGAGGAAAAGGTTTATTTGGCTTACAGCTCACAGTCCATCATCAAGGGAAGCCAAGGCAGGAACCTGGAGCACAGACCATGGAGGAGTGCTGCGTACTGACCTCTGGCTCATGCTCAACCTGCTTTCTTATACAACATAGGACCACCTGCCCAGGGGGTGGCACTGTTCACAGTGAGCTAGACCCTCCTACATCCTTCAACAATCAAGAAAATGCCCCACAAACATGGCCACAGGCCAGTCCAATGGAAGTAGTTCCCCAGTTGAGGCTCTGTCCATCCAGATGTGTCATGTTGACAGCTGAAGCTGTCCAGCACAGTGGGGCACTGGGGAGAATGGAAATAATGCAGAGACAATACGCACCTATGACATTCTTGAACACTTCCCTTAATTCCTGAGAGCACTACAAGTGTCTCCTAGACCCTTTGGAAAAATGGTTATGGGCAAGATATAACATTAATATGGCAATCTCATTTTGCTGAATGGATGACCTGGCTCCTAGTGCTCACTGCTGGGAAATTTGTTTAAATCACGATGGGCCATGGAGACACATCCCTTGCTTTGAACATGCTCCCCAAAAGTTAAGTGTGGAGACTTGTCCCCGGCACAGTAGTGTTGAGAAGAGGTAAAGGAGTCCTGGGAGTGGTCTTCACAATGGACTACTGGGTTGTCTTGGGAGGGCCTTTTGTAATGGTGACCTCTCTCTGGCTGGCTCTCCCTCACCATGAGGTTCTCCTTCATGTTATCATATAGCACAGAGCCATCAGTTGCTGAGTCTGTCCCCTGTTCCTGGAATTCCCAACTTCAGAACAAAATAAACCAATAAACTTCTGTCCTTAGTTAAAGATAGAGAAGAAAGAATGGGTAGATTCAAAGTAAGACCATGTCTAGCTACTGCAAGTACATGCATGTCTTGGCTTGGTTTTTGTTGCTATAACGAAATCCTTGAGACTAGGTAATTTTTAAAAATAGAGGTTTATGGGGGTAGAGAGATGGCTTAGTGGTTAAGAACACTGGCTGTTCTTACATAAGACCCAGGTTCGAATCCCAGCACCCATATGGCAGCTAACAACTGTCCGTAACTCCAGTTCCAGGGGATCCGACAGCCTCTTCTGTCCTCCATGGGCATTGCACAATATGGGTGCATTTACCTACATGCAGGCAATACACACATACACATAAAAATAATAAAATATTAAAATAACAATAATAGAGGTTTATTTTGCTAATGGTTCTATAGGTAGAAAAGCTCAAGAACACAGTACTAGCATCTGGCAGGGGCCTTCTTGTAGTTTTGTTTTGAGACAGGGTCTCCCTGTAGCCCCAGCTGACCTGGAACTCACTATGTAGACCAGGCTGGCCTCGGACTCACAGAGATCCACCTGCCTCTGCCTATGTGCTGGGATTCAAGGTGTGTACCACTGCACCCAGCTTAGGTTTTGTTTTGCTCTTTTAAGATTTCATTTTTATTTGTCCATATTTGTGTGTATCTGTGTAAGCAGATGCTGGGGTAAGGGTGGGGGGGGGTGCCAAGATGTCAGAAGTAGGTGTCAGAACCTCTGGGAACTGAACTCTGATCATCTGGAAAAGCAGGACGCAGTCCTAACTGCTGAGTCATCCCATCTTGTATTCTTAATGTGGTAGAGGGCATCATAAGATGGAGGGCATCACATCTTGTCTCTTGTGCCAGAGAGACCTCATTTTTGTAACAAAGCTGCTCCCTGTGATCCACTCACCCCCAAAGACCCCACTTGCAGATATCATTGAAGTTTAATTTGGGCGTTAGGTTTCCAACACCTGAAATCTTAAGCACATTATTGCAAGTGCCGTGTGCTTGAAGAAGGAAATGTGGAAGGGAAGGAGCTCTGGAGAATCTTAAACTTAACAAACTGGAGAAATGTATGAGTGTGTTGATGCTGGTTGGCACCATGTTGAAAGGGTCTGTTGACTAGCTTGCTTTGGTGCTTTCCTGGCCTGATGGTGTTTCTTCCCTTCCCCAGGGTGTGCAGAAGGCTATGCACGTGATGCCACAGAGATTCAGAATATTCAGATTGCCGACGGGGATGTTTGCAGGAGCCTCTCTGTCCCCATATACATGGTCTTCCCCAGACTGTTCACCTGCCCAACACTGGAGACCACCAACTTCAAAGTGGGTAAGCTGGACTCCTGGTCTGTGGGATTTGGGAAAGGGTGTGGCCCATAGGGAAGGAGCACCTGGTACCTGGGCCTGCTGTAATTACAGCCTAAAGTGTACAACCCTTGGGTTATTTAACGAGACCTCAGTGAGAAGCTGCATGAGTAGACAGTGGAGTCTGCTGAACGTTCCCCTTTAGGGTTGGATTTGGCCAAGTGAAGATACCGGGATTTTTATAGAAAAGGCTTTATAGTTGCTAAACAGGTAGTATGTGCTCACTGTGTTTTCTCATTGATGGAACTAAATACCTGACAAGAAACAACCAAAAGGAGAGTTTATTTGGGGTCACAGTCTGATGGTACTTCCATTATAGTGGGAACGGCATGGCAAGAGGAGGCTGCTTGATCACATCTGGGTGGATCATACAGCAGAGAGGTGAATGGTGCTGTTAGGGTTACTTTCTTCATTTCACATTTTGTTCAGGTCAGGACCTCATTCCATGGGATGGTGCCACCATTTTCAAGGTGGGCCTTCCCTCCTCAGTTAAACCTCTATAGAAAGTCCCTCAAAGACATACCCAGAGGTGTTTCTCTCACGTGATTCCAAATCTAGTCAAGCTGACGATAACGATCAACCAGGAGTTCACCCTTTGTCAACCTGACACCGAAACACACCAATGTAGAGCAGTGGCATTCTAGAACCCTGTACCCCAATAGGCTCATGGCCATCTCATAATGCAAAGTGCATTCATTTCAACTTCAAGAGTCCCCATGGTCTTAACAACTTCAACACTGATCAAAAGCCATTCTCTTCTGAGACTCAACTTGTGCTCCTATAAAATTTAATTTAGAACTGGCATAGTTCCAGCATAGGCACAGAATAAACATTCCCATTCAGAAAGGTAAGAATAGGGCCATAGCAAGGAAAGACTCCTAAAGCAGGACCCAAGTGCAGCAGGTCAGACACCACCTCCTGTACCTCCATGTCTGGCATCTAGGGCTCTTGGCAGCATCAGGTGGGCTCCAGTCGCCTTGGGTAGCCCCACGCTCCAGTTCTGTTGTGTGCTCCTTTCTTTGCCAAAATGCATGTTTTTTCATGTCTTTGTCTCTCGTTTTAAATCTGCACAAGAGCAGTGAGCAGTAACCATGGCATAGCCTGAACGATGACGTTTCCTCTGCTAAACCGACTGATCCGTTACTTTGAATTCAGCATCACTTAACTGAGGATTAGGCAGAATGAAGCCAGATTATTTGTCGGAGTGTTAACTTGAATGGCCTCTAGTCCAGTTTCCAAACAGCTCTAAGTTTTCTTCTGAAGCTGTGCAAGTAGTCTTTACCACCTTTCTGATGGTGTTCTCGTTTTCCACACTCCTGTCCGAATGGGCCATTGCTCTCCGCTTACCATGTTCTAGAGTTCCTCTAGTCCACAGATCCAACTTCTTTATGTTCTTCCTACAAACCGGTTCCCAAGGCCCGTGAACCATATGGTCAGTTTTTTCTGTTAGTTTCTCTTCTCCTTGCTGTGACCAAGTATCTGACAAGAGGCAGCTGAAGAGAGGAAGGGTTCATGTCAGTTCACAGTTTAGGACTGCAGCCTGCCAGGGCAAGGAAGGTGTGGGTATCCCTGTGTCTTGATACTGAGTTGACAGATACTGTTAGTCTGGGAGGTCTCCACAGTTGAAAAGTGACCTAGAATCATGTGTAAGCAGCTCTGGCTTCTTGGAGTCCCTGGGGTTGTGATTTTGGGGGCCCTGGAAGCAAGTTTGTTGAAAGGATGCTGTTCACTACACTGCTTTCCGATACTGGTGTGAGTCCTCGATGCCATGGGCATTGCTGGAGGAAGCTAGGCTGAGTCTCAGGAGGACGGATTCAAAGGGGCCCAGAGTTGAGAGTGAGCATCCTGTGTTAAGGGCAATAATTCTGCACGTTGCGCTTTCTTTATTGGTGTTGAAGCCAAGTGACTCCAGTGCGTGATCAGGCCCTCATGGTGGAGACCCTTCTCTCCCTCAGTCTTCAGGGCATCCTGCTTAGCACTGCTGCACATACCAACCCTGCTGGGGCTTTTCCACTGGAGATGAACGCCAGCGCCAGCTCCCTAATATGAGGCTTCCTTCTTCTGGGTGCACAAAGTAACCGGATACTGGTTGAAGAAAATGGAGGTAGGAAGGGCTTACAGCGCATAGTTACAGTATCAAAGTAGGGAAAGAGGTAAGTCAGGGCATCGCCAGTGTTGTCGGGGGTGACTCAGGAGCAGAGCCGGACACCTCAATGAGGAGTGGTTGTCCTGATTCGGTTAGTGGAGCGTGGCCCATTTTTCATTGAGGTGCTGCCTCTTCACACACACAGCCCTTTTATTGTAATTTTTATCCATAGCAGTTAAAATCTGATGTCTGCTGGAAGGTAAGAGCCATATGTTTCACAAGTGTCTCCAGAAAATTAGCTATATCCAGAGGAACAGCAGTTGAACTGTATGCTGGTTTTTGTTTTCTTTCTTTCTAGTTTGTTAGTTTTGTTTGTTTAAACAGGGTCTCATTCTGTAGCCAGGCTGCCCTGGAACTTACTGTGTAGCGGAGACTGATCTTAAGCTCACAGCCTTCCTCTTACTTGGTCCTCTCCAGTACTGGTTTAGGGGAGCCACTCTGCCTGGCTTAGACCACATGCTGTTTTAAAAGATGCTTCTCAGTAGAAGTTGGAGACTACCCTGATGCTGTAGCACGGTTTTCAGTCTAGTATTCCATTAGAATTGCAGGAAATGTAAAAATAAGCAGATAGAGGACGTTTCGGAAAGACTAGAAATTCCTAGAAAAGAAAATGGACAACGGGGTGTTCCTTATGACTTGGTATCCAAGGTGACAAGGCAGTACTACTTAGAGAAAACTACAGTAGTCAGTCACATGACCCTCACTGGATTTGCAGAAGTGTGGGGAGACGCTGCCTAGGACCTGAGCAGAGTCCCAAGTGGCACCCGGACATTTCCTCACCACCAGCCCGAAGTGCAGGTGGCGTGGGGTTTCCAGTGAGAATGAGCATGGCTCTCTCTTCTCTTGGCAGAGTTTGAGATTAACGTAGTGGTGCTTCTGCACGCGGACCACCTCATTACCGAGAACTTCCCGCTGAAGCTCTGCCGCACATAGGCAGCGGTGAGCCAGGACAGCCACGTGGCCTTGCGGGTCCAGCTGCTTACCCACCCGCTCGGCGGGCAAGGCCGCGGCACCTGCTCATGGTTTTCTGTATCAGAGAGAGATGTGCTCCCGGGATGGCGGCTCTCCTCTTCCTCGTTACCCCAAAACTCTGCTTCCTACAGGCGCCTTGACTGAGCAGGCGCCTTGACTCGGACCCCTTACTGGAATACGATGGTTTCCTCGTGTTTTTTACAAGGTCACTGCACAGAGAGCATCTCCAATGGATTCTGGTTTGTCAGGTTCTTTGGGTTCAGTAAAGCGATTGTCTGCAGTTTGTGTTTGCTGACAGTGGGACCCTGAGGACAGAAGAGAGCCCCTCTGCCTGGCCTGCGCTCCTCCAGCACAAGGCAGCTCCTGCATGCTGGTGGGCTGAGAGCTTCTGAAGACCCTCGGAGGAGAGCTGAGCGCCTTCCGGGGACGTGGGCACCATCCCCTCTGTGGGCCTGTCCCTTTGTAACATTTTCCCTCAAACCTCAAACTTTTTAGGGAACTGGGAGAAAAGGAGCAAAAAACCTGAAAGAAACTTTCACAGGAGCGAGGGGTTTTGTCAGCAAGGGCTGGCTGGAGTGTTCAGTCTCCAGACCCCGCACGCCATCGCATCCACATATTCCCAGAACATTTTTAAAGGCAAGGTGGTTGTGTAAGGGGAAGAATGTGGACTTCCTGCTCCTGTTACCAGGTAGGTTTGGAACGGTGGGAGGCCATGCCCTCTCCATGGCCTGGTGCCAGGAAAATGTCATAGACTTGATGAGCTTGGCCTGCCCCTGACTTGGGGGACCTGTGCTTTGAGCCAGGAACTTTGGCCTGAAGCCAGTTTCCCCTCATCCTCACGTTGTAATTCAAATTGTGTGGTGGACCTGTTGCAATACATTTTTTCCTGTAAGTCTTGCCATTGTTTTGTTGGTCTACAATTAGTGAGAACTCAGAAATGAGCCATGCCGCTTGCACACCTAACTGCTTGCACACCCACACTCACTGGCCTTCACAGGGTCTGGTTGGCAGATCTGTGCAAAGCAGGCCCACTGTCCTGTCCACCACTGTCCTGTCCGCAGCCAGGGGTTTGCAGCCCTAGTTTTCTTGCTTTACCTGGAGCTCTGCCCCTGGAAACAGAAGACTTCACCGAGTTACCTGACAGCTCAGTCCCAGACATTGTATTTTTGATTTGACAATCTTTTATGCTCATATAACAATAAAAACCTCTCCTCAACGATGATTTATTTAAACAACTGAGTAGCCAAAAAGAGAACCCACACTTTCTGGTAACTTTGTAAGGGAAACTCATTTTTAATTAATTTTTTTAAAATGAATAAAGAAAGCCAAATGACAATTTTCAAAAAAGGTTTGGGTTTATCTTAAAAATACTCTCAGATTGGGTGTGGTGGTGCACACCTTTAATCCCAGCACTCAGAGGCAGAGGCAGGCAGATCTCTGTGAGTTCAAGGCCAGCCTGGTCTACTAAGCAAGTTCCAGGCCAGCTCAGGCTATAAGGGAGACTGTCTCAAAAAGACCA